GGAGACCTAATAGAAGTTTTCAAAATCATGAGAGGATTTGATAGGATAGAAAGGGAAAAACTGTTTCCACTGGTGGGTGTGTCGGTGACTTGAGGTCACAGATTTAAAATAAGTTTCTAAAAGAAGCAGAGGGGAGGTGAGAAGAAATTTTTTCATGTAGCGAGTTGTTTGAATCTGGAACGCATTGCCTGAAAGGGTGGTGGAGGCCGATTCGATAACAACTTTTAATAATGCGGTGGATGGGTATTTGAGGAGGACGGGCTTGCAGGGTTATGGGGAAAGGGCTGGGGAATGGGATTGACATTACATTGCTCTTTTCAAAGAGCCGACACAAACTCGATGGGCCGAATGGCCTCTTTTTGTGCTGTACGATTCTATGATCTATGAAAGAGGATAGGCTTTACAAAGATTATACATGGAAACAGGCCTCTTGGCCCAACTAGTCTGTGCCGGTGTTTATAATCCACATGAGTCTTCACCTATTCTTTATTCCCTCTCATGCTTCGATTTCCCTCTCCCTGATGTGAAGGGCTAGCTTCCTCTTGAGTGTATCTATATTAACTGATTCTATTACCACTTTAGGCAGCGTGTTTCGGAATCTCACTCACCTCTGCGTGAAGTAGTTAATCCAAAATTATCTTTTAGATCGCCTCGTTGTTATGTTACGTTTATGTCCCCTGGTTACGGACTCTCCAACCTGTGGAAACTGCCTATTTATGTTATCCGTATCAAACCCCTTTTATCATTTTAAACACTTCTATAAGGCCCCCTCTTCTCTGCAAAAAAGTCCCACACATCCAGTCTATCCTGATAGCAACCTTCCAGCCCTGGTATCAATCCTTGTAAACAAACATAAGCTGTTCTCTTTCCATCGCTCGTCTATCCTTCTTATAGTGTGGAGACCAGAATTGGACACAATGTTCAAAATATGGTCTAACCAAGCTTTTATATAAGTTCAACATTACCTCCTCATTTTTACAATCTATCCCTCTGCATATAAGTCGCAAGACCCCATTGGGCTTTTTTTTATAGCCTTACCTACCTCTGCCTTCAGAGATTTGTGGATTTGAATCCCCATATCTCTCTGCTGCTCTTAGGTTCCTAACAACTAGACTATAGATGGCTTTTTTATTTTCTTCTGCTGAAGTGAATTACTTCAAATTTTCCTTTGCCATTTAATTTGATTTGCCATTGGACTGAACCATTCTGCTGCTCGCCTGTTGATGTCTTTCTGCATTCTTCTACAATCTCTTTCACTGTTTGAATTGCCCCCCCAGTTTGATGTCATTTGCAAATTTTGATGCCACACCTCCTGAATCTGAATAATTTATGTAAATGGTGAACTGTAGCAGTCCTAACACGGATTCCTGTGGAGCACCACTTCCTACCAGCTTGAGAAGACACACTTAAGTCCTACTCTTTGCCTTTGATTTCTAACCATTCTTTAATCTATTCTGCTACCTCACCCACAATTCCATTTAGTCATGAGCCTCTCTTGAGACACTTTATCAAAGGTCTTTTGGAAATCCAGATGCACTACACTCACTGCATTTCTCTTGTCTACTTTATCAGTTACATCTTCAAAGAATTTAATATGCATGACCTACCTTTCGTAAATTCATGATGGACTCTCTTAACTATATTCTCCTTCTCCAGATGACTAGATAGGCAGGGAAGCATAGAGTAGTCATTGGGTAATATCGTGAAAGGCACTACAGATATATCAAATGCAAGGATTTTATTGTTATTATATTATGGGTTTACTTTGAACCTTCAGTAAATTTGCAGGTTGTTTTCCTTTCATTTTCCATCATGATCAATTTCAGCAATGAGCTCCAAGGCCTGCACGTAATCAAGGTTAACATGATGGGGATTGCATAATCAGTGATTGCACTTTACAGGAAATCCTTAATCTTGTAAAGCACTTTAAGATGTCCTCTTAAATGTGAAAGGTGCTATATAAAACAGAAGGGTTATCATTGTAAGTAAAAATCAAAGCTTGTTAAAAAAAATTATGTTAATTTCTCTTCTGAAATTCATCATTTCAAGTGAGCTACTTCCTCTCATTTGCAGTTTCTTCATTTTTAAAAAATGTCATACTGTAGCCACAATGAAAGATGCTGTGCTGCTCTTTTCTGGCCTCAATCTTTCAATCTTTCCAATGCAGCAATTGGATTGCAAATGAACTTTAGCCCTTTGTCTTTCATATGCAGAAGATGTAGTGTTAGATCTCACAGCAAGGATGCTCATCCCATGAATTTCAATTCTCCAATGGGCTCATTCGTTGAAGCAATAATCCATGCAATAGATAGTACAACAACAACTACAAACAAGAAATTGCATTCATATAGCACCTTTCATGTTTGGAGGATTGAGGGTTGGATTTAGGATGTCTGGGTGCCAAGGAGGGGATGACGGACTGGGAAAATGACCAAAGTTGTGGTCAAAGAGGAAGGTCTTGAACAGACCTTGAAGAAGTTGAGGGAAGGGGTGAGGCAAAGCGACTCCAGGATGAGTTGTGGAGTTCTGTAGGTCATTTGTTAGAGCACTCGCCTCGCGAGCGAGAGGACCTGGGTTCGGCAGGACTAAACACTGGGCAAGTTTCCTTACTCCACACATCTCTGTTCACCCAGCAGTAACTAGAAACCTGATCGCTTTTCTGGGGGTAATAATCTCTTCCAAAAAATAAATAATAATAATTTAGTCACTCAATCCACGACTGTTCGTGGGACACTATTGTGTATAATTGGCTGTCGCTTTTCACCCACAAAACATACAGTCAATTTACTTTGAAGTATATTCTGTGAAGCGCTTTGAGACGTCTCAAAAACATGATAAGGCGCTATATCAAATGCAAGGATTATTATTGTTATAGTTTCAGAGAGTAAGGGTGGAAAGGCTAAATGGCTGACCACTAATGGTGGGGTGGACAGGGCAGGGGACATGAAGCAAGCCAGTGTCTGCTGAGCAGCGGGAGAGGAAGGGTTGGTAGGGTTTCAGAAGGTCACAACAAAGATAGTCTTTGCACAAATAGCCTTTAAAAGCTCAATGTTATTTTGTTTAGCATTATGAAGAGGTTGGACAAACTGGTCAGATATAGGCTATTTCCACTTGCTGGTGAGTCTAAACAAGAGGACATAAATGTAAAATAACTCAGAGCAGATCGAGTTTAGATAGATCTAAGATAGATTTAAAATGGAGTTTTGGAGGATCTTCTTGATACAGAAGGTGGTGAGAATATGGAACTCACTGCCAGAAATTATGGTACAAGCAGAAAGCATCAATGTATTTATGAAGAAACTGAATGCAGGCCAAGACTGGCTGGTACCAATTGAAAGAAACAACCATTTCAAAAATCAAAATTGGAATCTGCAAACTTCCTCACTCCCCCTCCAACTCCAAATAACAAAAGCTTTCCATTTACATGGCTCTTTACCTAAACTTGGAACATTAAAATCTGAGTGCACACTGGTCAGGGGGAGGCCTGCTTTGCTCGAAGAGCTCAGTTACATTGATAGCTCAGACATTTTAATCGACAGAGGATTGAGCAATACAGACCGAGAAAGTCTCAGGTTTGATCCCCAGTCTGAGCTGTGTCACCTGATCTCAGGACTCCAGCTGTTACACCTGACTGAGGAGTTCAGATTAAGGCGGATTATTTTGCTCCTTGATCCCTATCAAGTGATCTTCGCTGGAGGTACCCTGTGAGGATACTGGGTGTGGAGAAGATCAGGCTTGGCTGTAATGCTCTTCACAATCAAACAGCATGTTGATAAGCCTGAATCCCATGTCAGAGTAGTGGGTACTTGATTGAGATACTGGAGGATGCATGGACAGCAGCACTTTCAGGGTCAAATAAGGAATTAATCCCTCCAAGTTAAGACAGGTGAAAATTGAATGTGAAAATTGAGGAAAGAATGTGACAAGCATGCTCAATATACAGGTTCAAACTCCTGCCCTTCTCATTGACAATCAAATGCTCAGTTGCTTGAACAACCAGAACTGTTTTGTTATTTTGTTGGTCTGAAGGGAATTTCATCTCCTACCAGCCAACATGCTACCTGCACAAGCAAATTAAGATGCAGATAGCAGTGCTATCAGCAAGAATGGAGTTTAGGAGGATCTTCTTTATACAGAGGGTGTTGAGAATATGGAACTCACTGCCAGAATGGCTTCTGCTGACTACTAAATAAAGCTTTAAGTTTGGTATCAGCATTTATTAGGGAAGAGTTCAAATTATGTTAAGCTCAAATACTCGCTTCCTTCAATTGCTTATTTCTGCGAGATGCCCAACAGTTTTCAGCACTGCAGATATAGAGCAATTTAAGACTGAATCTTCCCACACTCCTAACGCGAGACTGTTACAATTGCCATCTTATGACTTGTGACGTTTCTGTAGCACTGAAAGACTGTGTTTTATTCTGAAATGTTACCAACAACAACAAGATTCCATTTATAGAACAACTTTCACGTCGGGAGGACGTCCCAAGGCGCTGGACAGTTGGGTCAGGACCCGAGCAAGGGGGGAAATGGTCAGGGTGAGTGGAAGGAGGGAGCGAGGAGGGGGTAGAGAGTCGAGAGGGGAGCTGAAAGCACGGTCAAAGAGAAAGGTCTTGAGACCGGCCTTGAAGGAGGAAAGGGAGGAAGCAAGAGCATCTTATTTTCTAGTTATCAGTAAATATACACCCGTCTGTCTTTTCAGGTGGACGTTAAAGATCCTAAGGCACTATTTGAAGAGAGAAAGGAGTTTCTCCAGTCACCCTGGCTAACAAATCCCCCAAAATAAAAATGGGTCAATCACTCCACGGTGTTTGTGGGACACTGTTGTGCACAAATTGGCTGAGGGGTTCATCAAAATTATACAGACAAAAGTATATCCTATGAAATGCTTTGAGGCATCTCAATGATGTGATAACCCGCTACATCAAATAAAAGGATTATCATTATTATTATTTATATACAATGCAGAATTATACCTGGGGATTATATAAAAATCTTACCTGGCTGCACCAGACATAGCTTCTGGTCTTTCTTGTGTCTGAAGTGTTGCGTGTTCCACTCCGGTTCAGTGCCACTGTTCAATTTTCTTCCACCCTCCTCCTCCTCATTCACAGCAGGAAATGCCAATGGGCTGCTTGCCAATTTTGAAGGAGATTTAACAGGAGACACTGACTGACTGCTGGGACACCCGGTGTCATCTGCTCAACAAGAACATCAAAAGCAAATAAGGGTGGCAAAGATACTTAGGAATGAAAACAGGAGATTATTCAGTCCAACAAACCTATTTATCAGATCACAGCAGATTAATTACTCCTATTTCTCTATACACTTTACTTGTCAAGTATACAAGTACTTACGTGATGAATTTTAATATGATGCTCCCTTATTATGTACCTGTCTGTCATCTCTTTAAACATCCCTATTGATTCTGCCATTCTGACTCTCACTGACAATACATTGCATATTTTCGTAAGCTTCTATGTGAAGAAATGTTTCATGACCTCACTTCAAACTGTCCTAGAGTTAATTATAACATGAGGCCCCCTTATTTAGAGCCCTTGTATCAGAAGAAAACGTCTTGTACTATCTCAGATCTTCAGTTAGTAATCCACACAAGTACCCAGTTAATCCACAAATCATGAATGTAACATTCCCATAATTTGAAACCATGGAGAATGCATGTGCGAGTTAAGGCAGTGGATGGTATTGCTTAGAAATTAAACATTTTCCTATTTAAGACACTCATTTTTGGAATGATTGGACAATAATAGTAATCCTTACATTTGGTATAGCATCTTCCTCAAAAGAGCTCTCAATACTGCATCTGCCATCCTATGGCTTCTTGCAGAGATATTTGCACTAAACAACACTATTGAATTAAAAGGCCCTTTGAGGTCCTTGTTCACTGGATTGATCCAAAACCCTTTCCAAATGGGTTTCTCTCAAGAGGTAGAGAATGGACAGGATACAGAGAGAAATAATACGAATTCCATTTTATATTGTGCCTCAGCACATTGAAATATTCTAAAGCACTTCACACAATCGTTTACTTCGAAATGAAACAACTATCGTTAGGATTGTCAATAAAGCAGCTAAATCTGAAACTGTAATATCCAATAATCAGCAATGTGATAAATAACTAATGGATCTTTTGGGTGGTCAGGGCAGTCGGGTGAATTTGAAGAGGACATATGAGGACTGACTCCCTTTTACAAGATGAGAAGAAAAAGTTGATGGAGAAAATGTACATGAAGTACAACATTCATAGAAGATAGTTCCAGTGAGTTTAAAATCATTCATAGGATTGTGGGTTGCGGGTTCAAGTCCCACACTGGGACTTTGAGCTCACAGTCTATACTAACATTTCAGTGCAGTAATAACATTGTAACATCCTTCAGATGAGATGTCAAAGCAAGGTCCCATCTGCCTGTTCAAACAGACATTAAAGATTATATGATACTATTGGAAAAAGAAGGGAGCTTCTCCTGGTCAACAATCCCCCAAATAAAATTGGTCATTCATTTCATGGTTGTTCGTGGGAGGCTGTTGTGTACAAATTGGCTGCCATGTTCGCCCACAAATATACCAGTCTATAATACAACAAAAACAGCAAGGTTTCATTTATAGAGCGTCTTTCACGTCGGGAGGATGTCCCAAGGCGCTGGACAGTTGGGTCAGGACCCGAGCAGGGGGGAAATGGTCAGGGTGAGGGGAGGGAAGGGAGGGAGGAGGGGGTAGAGAGTAGAGAGGGGAGCTGAAGGCACGGTCAAAGAGAAAGGTCATGAGACCGGCCTTGAAGGAGGAAAGGGAGGAGGCGGCGAAGGCACTGGGGGATAGAGTTCCAGAGCCTGGGAGCTGACAGGCTGAAGGCCCGACCACCGATGGTAGGGCGGTTGGGGCGGGGGATGTGGAGCAGACCGGAGCCAGAGGAACGGTGTGTACGGGCAGGTAAGTAGGGGGATAGTAGGTCGGAGAGGCAGGAGGGTGCAAGGCCGTGAATGGCCTTGTAGGTGAGGATGAGGATCTTGAATTCGATCCTCTGGGGGATGGGGAGCCAGTGGAGGCGAGCGAGGGTGGGAGTGATGTGGTCCCGAAGCCTGGTGCGGGACAGTACACGAGCTGCAGAGTTCTGAATGACCTGCAGCTTGTGGAGGGAGGTGCGGGAAGGTCGGCGAAGAGAGAGTTCCCATAGTCCAGCCTTGAGGTGATAAAGGCGTGGACCAGTTTCAGCAGCGTGAGGGGTGAGGTAGTGCCGTAGTCTGGCGATGTTTCAGAGGTGATGGAAGGCGGTGCCAGTTGTGGTGCGGATATGAGGGAGAAAGGACAGCTCAGGGTCGAACAGAACCCCGAGGTTCCTGACTGGCTTTGAGAGGTGGAGAGTGCAGCCTTGGATGCTGATGCTGTCAGCGCCTGAGGTGCGGAGGCGCTGACGTGAGCCAATCAGGAGGGCCTCAGTTTTGCGCATGTTGAGCTGAAGAAAGTTGTCTCTCGTCCAGGACTCAATGTCGGACAGGCAGGCTGTCAGGACATTGGGGGTCGTGGAGTTGAGGGTAGAGGAGGAAAGGTAGAGTTGGGTGTCATCCGCATACATGTGGAAGTTAACCCCATGTCTGCGGATGATGTCACCAAGGGGGAGCATATAGAGGGTGAAGAGGAGGGGACCGAGGACAGAACCCCGAGGGACTCCACACGAGACAGTGAGGGGGCCGGAGGAAAAGCCGTTTGTGGAAACAAAATGAAAACGGTGGGAGAGGTACGACCTAAACCACTCAAGGACAGGGCCTTGAAGGTTGAGATGGGAGGACAAGCGGTGGAGGAGGATAGCATGGTCGACCTATCGAATGCTGCCGATAGGTCGAGGAGGACGAGGAGGCAGAAGGAGCCCTGGTCGCAGATGGTCAAGATGTCATTGGTGACCTTGACCAGGGCGGTTTCTGTGCTATGGACAGCACGTAAACCCGACTGAAGGGGTTCGAATAATGAATGGGTTGAGAGGAAAGAGCGCAGCTGGGAGGCGACAACTCATTCCAGGACCTTGGACAGGAAGGGGAGGTTGGAGATGGGCCGGTAGCTTGATAGCTGCGACGCATCAAGGGAGGGTTTTTTCAAAGTTGGAGTGATGGTGGCAATTTTTAGGGTAATGGGAACAGAGCCAGAGGACAGGGACAGATTGATGATGTCTGTGATAAGTGGGGCAAGGAGGTAGAGCTTAGAGATAAGGAGTGGAGTGGGGATGGGGTCAAGGGAGCAGGTGGTGGGTTTCAGGGGCAGGATGAGTTTGGTGACAGAAGGTGGGGAAACGGGTTCGAAGGTGTGTAGGGGAGGATGGGTAGGAGTTGGGAGTGTGGGAGGGGAGAGGTGGGGTTGGGTGGCAGTTGGAGGGGGAGTGACCGCGGAGCGGATTCCCTTGATTTTGGATTCAAGGAAATCCAACATCTCCTCGCAGTGAAGGTTGGAGGAGATGACCAGCGCGGGGTGGCGGGGGGGACGGAGGAGTCGGAATGTGGTAGAAAACAGAAGCCTGGGGTTGTTCTTCACACCAGGATTATCCTGGAGTAGAAGGAAGACTTGGCCGAGGCTGGAGTGGAGCGGTAGATTTTGAGGAGGTCCAGCCAGATTTGTCGGTGGACCGTTAAGCCAGATTTGAGGCAGGTACATTCAGCGGCCCGCACCTGGCTCTTCAGTGAGCGGAGGTGGGTGGTGAACCAGGGGGAGGAGCGAGAGTAGGAGACAGTACGGGAGGTGATGGGGGCAAGAGTGTCGAGTGTGGAGGAGAGGGTGTTGTGGAGGAGGGTGAGAGGAGAAGAGGGGTCAGTGAGGGTTGAAGGCCAGAGGGAGAGGAGTTCAGAGGACTCCAAGGCAGCGGTTAGGGATTGTGGGGGTAACTTCTTCCAGGGGCGATAGAAGTGGTGGTGGGTCTGGTAGAGGTGGGGAGGAGGATGGAGGTGGTGAAGGAGATGAAGTGGTGATCGGAGATCGGATTTATAAATCCTATAAAGCTTTTAGGGCATTTTAACAACATGACAAAATGCATGTCAAATGCAAATATTATTATTGTATAACCTCTAATCCCAATTTCCTGCTCTTCCATCCTGCTCTTACATTTTGTCTTTTCATACAATTGCCTTTTACCCACAGTATTGTTACTAGTGATTCAAAATAGAAAGGACCAAACTAACTGCATTTTAATTAAAAATAAAAATAAAATTCTCTGATTCTAAGGTTAGGAGTTCAAACCCTTGTCTCCTTCCCCATATAGTACACCAAACAGTGCATGCAGATATAATTAATTTAAATCTTGTTTCTATTTCCCATTTCACTTTGTCCTTTAAGGGCAATGGCATATGTTACTGAGATCCAATTACGTCAGATATTAAGCTAATTGTGTTTTAGAGCAGCGCATTTATGCCTTTGGGACTCAAAGTAGGTTCTGATATTTGACATGTTTAGAATTAACAGTCTATAATTGAAAACTGTATAGTGACACCCTTTATATGCTTAAATATTTAAAACTGAAATTCTAAGATACCACATATTGTATTTATTATTGGAAAATTTATATGATATGGACTATAACTGGCAGAATTGTTTTTACATCTGTAACTATTGGACTTAATTGCTCCTTCACAATACTGCAGATGGAGTTCCCATTAGTAAAGTAATAAAAATCCTCACATTTGGTATAACACCTTCCACATTGGGAGGACGTCCCAAAGCACTTCACGGAATATACTGTAAAGTGCACTGATCGAGATTTAATGGCCTAGTGGCCCAGCAAACACAATGCCTGATGCAGCAAAAACAGACCCAGGAGATCATAGGGATCTATGCTGATTTAGCTGGTCCCAGGTAGGGCAGCAGTTGGGACTCCGTATTTGACCTCAGAGCTCCTGGGCTAGAGAGGGCCAAATCGCCTAATCAAACAGGTTTTCACCTCCTGATCACCATTCAGTAACTTCGTTTGCTTAATTTGCCTTGCTCTATCCCCAATAAATGGGGGTTCTTCAGCCTGGTCCCATAATCACCCCCAAATGTCAGCATTCGGATACAGATTGACCAGTTGCACATTTTCACATTTCAATTCAAGTGGTCTCAATATCTGGGGTTGCAACCATTTCACAGCTTACATTCAGCTGCTAGAAAAAAATCACCTCACCATTTAAATAAGAATTAATACCAATAATAATCCTTGCATTTGATACAGAGCATTTCAGATCAAGAGGATGTCTCCAAGCACTTCACATCATTTATTGTAAAGTCTCGTGACTGGGTTTTTCTGGGCAAATGTGGCAGCATAGCAATGTCCCAAAATAGCTATTAAGTAAATGAGCAATTTTATCTTAGGATCGTTGGCCAGGACACTAGGAGAAACTCCTCTTTTTGAAGAGTGTCATGGGATTTTTAAAGTCGACCTGATCAGATAGACATGAACTTGTTTTAATGTCTCACCAATGATGCCATCAGCACTGTGTCATTGTTATAACCTTCTGACTCAGAGGTGAGACTGTTAGAAACTAAGCCAGGCTAAAGATAAACTGAAATACATCTTGTTTAAGACAGACACCATTACACAATGCATGGCACTATTGCACAATTCTGTTTGTAAACATTGAAATTATGTTTCATAGAATCATAGAATGTTAAAATAGAAACTGCCCATTTGGTTCATTTCCTCTGGTCATTGATTACAAAATAAAATCGTTAGACTTTACAGTACTGCATATCCTGTGAAGAAACATCCTGATGTGAAAATGTAACTAACTGTAAGAAATATTAGGCTCCAGTGCCTTGGGACGTCCTCCTGACATGAAAGGCACTATATAAATGCAATTTGTTATCATTGTTTTTATTATCATATGATCATATTGTTTAAATAATTAATACTGTGCAGAATCGTGAAAATTACTTTAGTTCAGATTTTAATGTAGGAGACAGATCATTTTTAACTGCAGAAAAATGACCTCCATATTGAAAATTTTCCCAAAAATCTGCAATGCTAAATTTTGAAACAAATGCAAAACAGTCTTACAATCTGAAACTTTTGGATAGTCTTTCAATATAAATCGGGTTTCTGAAAAAGTGTTTTGCCACTTTTTCTTTAGTGGGGATGGGTGGGGGGGGGGGGGGGGGGGGGGGGGGGATATCCCTGTGTCCTTTGGTCACTCATAACTGATGTGAGGAAGCGTTGGTAAGCGATTTAAGGCAGAGACAGGTATTGGCAGAAAACCACCTTGACCACTTGCATTCTCATTGATCTTACAGTGCCCCCTTGACGTGGATCTGGGATAACAAGCTGCCGGATTTGAAAAAAAACGTGGGCTACAGTCGCGTCAGCTGTTAGTGCAGCATTGTATAGCCATTATTGTTGTGGATCTGTAACCTCAGCCTTGCTGCTGCATTTTATCTGCCTCAAAAGTGTGCCTTGACCTTGACTAAGTGTCAAACATCAGCAGTCACCCAATGCTGCAGACAAGACTCCGCAATACGGCCCCAAAGGTGACCTGATGCAGGAAGAGACGTGGGGAGGTGTTTCAGGCTGGAGGGATCATTTGGATTGGGGTGTTTTATTTTTATTTGGAGTGGAGAAGGGCTGTGTTTGTGTGTGTGTGTGAAAAATAAATAAAAATTGCAATTGGCTAATATACATAAAAACATAAGGTCTCACACTGCAATGAGAAAAAAATCCCAAAAGAGAGAGAGATAGAGAGGAAGAGAGAAAGAGAGAGATAGAGAGAAAGAGAGAGAGAGATAGAGAGAGAGGGAGAGGGAGACAGATAGACAGGGAGAGATAGAGAGAAAGAGAGAGAGAGAAAGAGAGAGAGATAGATAGACAGGGAGAGATAGAGAGAAAGGGAGAGAGAGAGAGATAGATAGACAGAGAGAGAGATAGATAGACAGAGAGAGATAGAGAGAAAGGGAGAGAGAGAGAGATAGATAGACAGGGAGAGATAGAGAGAAAGGGGGAGAGAGAGAGAAGGGGAGAGAGAGAGAGATAGATAGATAGAGAGAGAGATAGATAGACAGGGAGAGATAGAGAGAAAGGGGGAGAGAGAGAGATAGATAGACAGAGAGAGAGAGAGATAGACAGGGAGAGAAAGAGAGAAAGGGAGAGAGAGAGAGAAGGGGAGAGAGAGAGAGAGGGGGGGGGATGGAGAGAGAGAGAGAGAGAGAGAGAGCAGTAAGCTGTTGCCCTGCTCCCATGGCTGACAGACTTACCGGAGCAGCAGCTCAGGCTGCTGGAGACGGCTGCCCGGGGTTGGCCGGGGCTCTGCTGGTAATCGCGGCTCTCCCGCTCCTCCTCGGAAAAGGGGGATTCAGGAGAAGGCGATCCCTTGTGTTTGGGTCGGTACGGGCGGAGGACCAGTCTCGGGATGCGGCTGCGTGAGCTTTCCTTCTCTCGCACCTTCTGATCCTACTCAACACCAAACAAAATAACCCCATCACCACCACCATCACCACCACCATCACCACCATCACCATCACCACCACCATCATCACCATCATCACCACCACCATCACCACCACCATCATCACCACCATCACCACCATCACCACCACCATCATCACCACCATCACCACCATCATCATCATCATCATCACCATCACAACCATCATCATCACCATCATCATCACCATCATCACCACCACCATCATCATCACCACCACCATCATCACCATCATCATCACCATCATCACCACCACCACCACCACCATCATCATCACCACCACCATCATCACCATCATCATCATCACCACCATCATCATCATCATCACCACCATCATCATCACCACCATCATCATCACCACCATCATCATCATCACCACCATCATCATCACCACCATCATCATCACCATCATCATCATCATCACCACCATCATCAACATCACCACCACCATCATCACCACCATCATCATCACCACCATCATCATCATCACCACCCTCATCATCACCATCATCATCATCACCACCACCATCACCACCACCATCATCATCACCACCACCACCATCATCACCACCATCATCACCACCACCATCATCATCACCACAACCACCATCACCATCATTATCACCACCATCATCATCATCATCACCACCATCATCATCATCATCACCGCCATCATCATCATCCCATTATCACCACCACCACCATCATCACCACCCTCATCATCATCATCACTCCAGTTAATCAGCATCATACATGTGCTATGAATCTTATGGAGCCGCAGTATTTGCAACTGCGCCTCCACCCTCCACACACACACACTCACTCACACACACCTCCACACACACACACCTCCACACACTCACACTCACCTTCACTCACTCACACTCACCTTCACTCACTCACACACTCACACACACCTTCACTCACTCACACACACCTTCATTCACTCACACACTCACACACACCTTCACTCACTCACACACACTCACACACACTGACACACTCACACACACCCTCACTCACACCCACCATAAAGCTTTCTCTCTCTCTCTTTTTCGTTAACCAAAACACATGACATGTTCCACTCGGAGCTGCTGCCTTCTCCCTGTGTCAGTGTCGGCTGTGCGGGAGGAGCAGCGCAGCGGCGGCGGCGGTGTTGTTGTTGTTGGTAATTCACCCCCAACCCACACATTTGTCGATTTCAACAGCAGAAATTTCCAACAAACATCAGCGGATCTGAACCTTCAATCAATTCCGCAGAGAGTCAGAGAGCGACACCAAAAGTCTCCCCTAACCCCCTCCCTCCCTCCCCCCCTCTCTGTGTCCCCCTGTCCACCCCTCAGGGAGTTTCTGACACGATCGCAACACTGCGCCAACACTGTGGACACCACCTTTTCGGCTCTGCCCCACAAAACACAGGGGGACAAGTCCCCCACCGGCCAAGCCGGGGGGGGGGTGGGGGGTGTGGGGGGGGTCCCGCAGCACCAAAAAGCCATCGGAAGCCGTTAGCAGATGGGAACCAGATGCAGCAAATGGCTACTTCACTGCCAGACACGTAGAATAAACCTCGGTCGTGTGTTCTGCACCATCAGCTTTTACATATATATATATACACACACACTGCACAGAGATGGGAGAATCTATTCACGTGAGATGCAGAGAAAATATAAACCGGAGGGGTGATGTTTCCATTGCTGAGACCCCCCCCCCCCCCGGGACCCCACCAGGTGCCCTCTGCCATGTCCTTACCTTATGGTATTCATTGAAAGGTCCCATTCCGTTCCCTCCCGCTGGAACCTGTCATTTGGAGAGGAGGAAGAAATGAGATGCATCAGCGCCTGCGTGTTACTGGAGGCCACGTGGCACATCAGCTCCACACTCTCCGCTCTCTCTGGTACCTTCTGCCCTCTCGACTGAGAGGCAAAACCACAGCCATCTCTTTCCCTTCTAACAGGGAGAGAGGGAGCGCCTCCCTGTGCTCCGGCCATCACCACCACCCCCACGAAATAACAATGGTCATTCACCTCCAGGCTGTCCGCGAGGCATCGCTGGGCACACGTGAGCTGCGGAGTCGCCGCACTTTGCGGTATTAGCCCGCGAAGTGCTTTTGGAAGGGGCTTCCCGTGTAAAAGGTGCCACACCAAGTGTATTAATAATATAACAATGATCGTCCTTGCATTTGATATAGCGCTTTTCACGTCGGGAGGACGTCCCAAAGCGCTTCACAGAATATACTGTAAAGTGAATTGACTGTATATTTGTGGGCGAACGCGGCAGTCAATTGCGCACAGCAATGTCCCACAAACAGTCGTAGATTAAAAATGACCAATTTATTATTGTTTTTGGTTTTGGAGGGATTATTATTAGGTGTGTGGAGTAAGGAAACTTGCCCAAGGTTTTGCCCTGCCTGGAATTGAATTCAGGTCTCTCGCTTGCAAAGCGAGTGCTCTAACCACTGAGCTACAGGACTCCACAGGATTATTATTATTATTATTTTTCTGGGTCCAACAATCATCTGAATCGATAAAATGGGACAGGGACATTATAGGTCCCATCATTCAAAGTCATCACGGTTTGGCAGTAGGTGAACTTTCACTCTCAAAGTTGGTGAAGTTTTTTTCTTTCAGCGTTTCATTTTCTAATAATATTAATTCAGCAGGAAAAATCCCTGTCGTCAGTCTGCTCTCCCAAGTCCTACCGATGAGTCAGGCAGGCTGGGCTGGCAATGCTCTGGAGTACTCTGCACAAACTGGCTTTCAACTTGACCCACAACATACAGTCACTGAACAGCATAGTAAAAATCCTGTGAAGCGCTTCGAGACATTTTGATGATTTAATAAAGAGCTACATCAAATGCAAGGATTATTATTATTATAATTGTATAATATTATAAAAACTACTCTAACCCGGTTAGTTAAAGCACTGATAGACATTACTAGAAATGGTGGTATGACAGGATCTTGTCACTGGATCGAACCTGATTAGAATCAAACTACTGACTCGTGAGAAACCATGAATAACAACCTCCTGCTTCTACTACTTTCCATAAGGATGACAAAAACTGACATATACTGTGACCCAAACAAAAACATAATTGTTTGCTCAGTCCAACAGGAATGTGAGCTAAACTGTACACAGTAGAAAATCTAAATTAAAAACACATCCTATTACGATTTACATAGATTTACATAGAATGTACAACACAGAAACAGGCCATTCAGTTCAGCCAATGTTCAACCAATAAGCCAATGTTTATACTTCACAAGAGCCTCCGCCCAATCCTAACACCCTCCCTCCAATCCTAACCCCCTCCCATACCCTTTCTATTTCCTTCTCCCTCATGTATATGTCTAGCTTCCTCTTAAACAACTGCTTCAACCACTGCTTCAGGAGGTGGGTTCTACAATCTCACTACCCTCTTTGTGAGCAAGTTCCTCCTAAAGTCTCTTTTCGATCCCCTGTATCTGCGTCTCTTGGTTACAGACACTCCAACTAATGGATACAGCCTATTTATACTAACCTTATGGAACCCTTTTATAATTTTAAATACCTCTATTAGGTCCTTTCTTAAACGCCTCTTCTCTGATGGAAAAAGGCCTAACATATTGTGTCTATACTGATAACTTGTGATCCTAGTAAACTACTCTTTCCTTTGTAGCTATACCCTTTTTATAGTGTGGAGTTAAACCCAATACTCAAAATATGGTCTAAACAAGGTTTTGCACAAATTCAACCTTATCTCCTCACTTTTATACTTTATTCCTCTGATATAGGAATATCCAAGACAACATTGACACTTTTATAGCCTCATCGACCTAATTTTAGAAATTTGTGAATCTGAATCCCCAGATACCTTTGCTCCTCTACTCATTTTAGGTTCCCACCATCTTTCTCAACAAGTTAAACAGGACTTAGGCAGCAGAGCACTAATACAGATGTTCACAAGCATGTTGTGCTGCACTGAAATAAGGGATGTTGCCTTTCACCAGCTTGTGTTTCGGAATGGACAAATGGCTAAACAGGAAGCCGTGACATTTTGGAAATATCAAACTGCATCAGTATAAGGGAGCCCCAGGCATTCATATTTACTAGAATCTCACCTAGCAATGTTAAAGACTTTGTTAAAAGGCAATTATTAATTTATAACTTTCTGTGTTTGCTCACTGATTGACCAGAAATATAAGATATTCTTAACCTGAGGCTGTGTTAGATACAAGAAAGGATCTTATTGCAAACATGTTTTATACATTTATATAGCGCAGCCCCAGCATAAAATTACAAGTGTGGGAAGAATATACAAGCAAAGCATTTTATTGTAGACACAGAATATGTCGATTGATTCAACCAAGCAATTCAGCGGTTCTAATAGTTATTACAGTCTCATGCAAATTATTATAGATCAAGAATGCAAACCAAACGTGCTTAATAATATAATAATAATAATCCTTGCATTTGATATAGCGCCTTATCACATCTTCTAAACGTCTCAAAGCGCTTCACAGAATAGACTGTAAAGTGAATTGACTGTATATTTGTGGGCGAAATGTGGCAGCTAATTGCGCAGAACAGTGTCCCACAAACAGTCGTGAATTGAAATGACCAATTTTTTTTTGAGGGTTTACTATCAGGCGTGTGGAGTAAGGAAACTTGCCAAAGGTTTCATCATGCCGTGAATTGAACCCAGGTTTCTCGCTTGCAAAGGGAGTGTTCTAACCACTGAGTTACAGGACTCTTTGGTGAGATTATAGCAGACTGATACACATATATTATACACATTACTGATCTAAGGTCATTCAGAAGCTCATAACTTGCAAATTATCAGGACTGCTCGCACTGGTAATAGCAATTATCAGCCATGATATTCCTCCAGAATTAAAGGTTTTACCTGATGCACGTAGTAAGGCTAAACAAGTACTTTGTAGCACTACAACTCAGACAGGTGTTAGTGTGGCTCAGTTAATAGCATGCTTTGCCACTGAGTTACAGGTTGTGAGTTGTGTCTTGACTCTAGGTTGAAACTCCATGCAGTGCTAGGTAAACATTACATTGTCAAAGATGCTGGTGCTTTGGCCAATTTTCCTCCAAACAAAATTGATTCTTTATTTCATGGCTGTTTGTAGGTGTATCAATTGGCTGGTTTGCCAACAAATACAATCGTACAAATACAACATACAGTTAATCCTGCAAAGTGTTTTGATGACATGATAAGGCGCTATTTCAAAGCAACGATTATTATTGTTGAAATCCACCTATTATTATTAAAATTATTATACAGTCAAGACATCTCAAGGTTCTTCTTAGGTAATTGCTGTAAAGGTTATGACTGTATTCATAGGCAAAAACAGCAGCCAATTTGCACAAAGCAATGACACACAAACAGCTCTGAAGTGAAAGATCTATTTTATCCGGGGGATAATTAACCAGGACACTGGGGGGAACTCCCTTCCATTTTTGTCTATTGCAATGAACCCTCGATGTCCACCTGAACAGGCAGATGGGGTGTTGGTTCAATATCTTACCTCTGATGGCAGTGGTTCCCAGGCACTCTACTGAAATCTAAACTAAGTGCAAATTTACAAAATGACTCAAAGCATTTGAAAAGAATTATTGCAAAGAGTAGTGACTGTGTATTTGTACCAGCAATGTTCTACTTATAGCCACCTTCATCTTCAAAATACAGTTTTTGCAGCAAAATTCTGTGAAGTGTTTTGCGATGTGTTCCCCATGTGAAAGGCACTATATGCAAAGCATTGATTATTATATGTTATTATTATTTCTGGTGTGTTATCAATAAATCAGTCATTAAGAATGCCACAGGGAGAATTTTTCAATATTTGGTTCTAAGAGTGCTGATAATCTAGTCTAGAGCCCTTCAAAGGAGTCAAAACAACCTCCTTTTTTTGATCTTGATTCAAACGTGAAGAAATGAAGAGCAGTAATCAAGGCTTGTGTCAGAAGTAGCTGTGCTGTTTATGCCAACACTTAACAACAACAACAACAACAACAAGATTCCATTTATAAAGCGCCTTTCACGTCAGGAGGACGTCCCAAGGCGCTTAACCATAATAATAAGCATAATCTAGTTTGTACAGCACAGCATGCATTGGAAGAACATGGAATTACATTAGGTTGTCACCCCATCACTGCTTTAATACAAATGGTCAGAAATCTTGGTGAAAATTTGTTGCTGTTGTATATTTTAACACCAGGTATTATTATTACGAAAATGGTATTGAAAATCAACTGTATAATCATCTCCAATCGCGTAAAGTGCTTTGCTTGCTACTAGTGTCAATATTTCAACAGCTGTCATGCCAGTCTGTGGATACATCGGCCACAAATCATAAAATATAAGATTGAACTGTTTGATCATGACAGAAAGCCATTCAATCAGAGTAATGCAAATGGGTGTGTATAGACTGATGCCCTCAGAACTCTTTGCCTTTAATTCACATCTTTATTTAACAGAGCACATGCTTGCCATACATGGCATCGACACTGAATGGTTGCATTGCTCTTGTTCCTGGGCATGTATCTCACCTATTAAAGGACATTTTACTACACTAAAAAAAAGCCACAATTATATAATCCCATCATGTTAACCGTGATCAAACACAAACCTTGGACTCCATTGCTGCTAACCTCCTGACGTGAAAGATAATATAAATGTAAATGTGTTGTTGTTGTTGAAATGAAACAAAAAATACAAATATACTGGAGGTTTAAAATAAACTGTTAAAAACTGAGGCCCCCCCTTTGGCTGTCCAGTCAGAGGTTAAAGATGCCATAACACCACTTGAAGGGTGTTCCTCCTAGTG